TGTGCTGTTCCGCGATGAAAACCAGCTTTAAGCAACGGCGTAGTCGAACGGTACACACTCGGTAAGTAATCCTATAATTTTTTGTTTATAGCATAGTTTATACAGATTATTCCCAAAAAATTATACGTGTTTTGGAAATGTTGAGTCGAATTAGTCTAGAATCGGTTAATTTTATAGAAGAAAACCTTTCGAACAGCCTTAGTCCGTAAAGTTCCCACCTATCGGGCTGCGATTGGCTCGTGTATTTAATCGTTCCTACAACGTAAAATTCTATTAGCGTGGAACGTATCTAAGCATTATAGGGGGTCTACTGTACTTCAAGTTTTCTTATACAAAATATAATATTTCCAGCTGCAGTAAACATCCTATATATCCATAACAGAGACAAAAATCAACATGGCATTTAAATTTAGTAACAAGGAATTAGAATGTATTAGAATATTACAATTATGGATAGAAATTTAAAAAGTTTGTAAACTCCTTGTGGCATTATGAAAAAAAATTGCATTAGAGGACTCTTGTCTCATCCAACATATTTACTGAACTTTGTCCCAATGGGTTATAACTCTGCAAAATCACATAGATGAAAAAAAATTGAATAATGACATCAGTCAAAGAGTACATAGAAGAGTTTTGCTCAAGATCAGTAAAGTTTTCTATCAATAGTATTAAAAGGTTATTGATAAATTTTCAGAAAAATTATTATATAATAATGGTAATTATATTTAATTTGATTGTATTTTGTATTACGTATATTAAAATTTGTGGAAAAACTCAAAAGAACTTTTGACTTAATGTAATATTTATTTCTTCACAAATAAGAGCATGCTCTTGTATATGAAAATGGCTCATCTTTTGCATTTTTGAAACATGTTTGCTTTCATTTATAAAAGCATACCTCACATAAAAGTTAGCATACAAGAACATGCATGCTAATGCTAACTTATTTTGGCTTATAAGATATCTATACTGCTGTGTCAATGATTTAACTTCCATGTATGTACTGATACAGTAATTATTCAGTAACATCTCTATGGTAACCATTATTAAAAATAAACTTCTAAAGTAAAAAAATGCCATAATACTATAAATATAATTTTTAAAAAATAGCAAGTTTTTAGGTACTTTGCAAAATATAGTGCTAATTTTGCCCTATCTATAAAAGTATTCTATTGTTGCATGTGTAAAATTATATGCAGAGGAAAACTTACCTCCTATTTCATCATTATCTTTTAAAATAGATTTATATTTAGCACTGAATCCATGATAATTCAATAGATGGTCAGAATGAAAATGTATCAACATTGTATTATTTGTTGATATTACTGTATTATTTTCTGGATTTGAACAAAAGTGACCAATAAGAGGATCATCTACATAAAAAGAAAATATAAAAATATATTAGAAGTACAAAATATTCCAATGACTATTTATTAATCTAAATATTTATCAACCTGCAGTCATTCCGTCATATACAGCAACAAAATCATAACTACAATTTGTATCGTATTCCAATTCAAGAACATCAAACTCTAAATGCACCGAAAATTCGGGTTTTACCACAATTTGAGTCCAACAATCTGTTTTATCAGGGTAATTGTCTGGATAAAGTGGACTAGTTAAAACTCCTTTGTTTTCTTTTAATATTGTTCGACAATCTGAAAATAAAACAAAATTAATTTTCTACTGTAAATACTGATTTAGCCATTAAGGTTAAATATAAAATACTTTCTTACTTGATGAAATCTCTGGAAAATATTCCAATAAGAACCCATTATCTGTATAACTGGCATCAGTATGGAAAAAAATAGTAACTTTTGTTGTGTTTGTATTAATTATTTTAACTTTGTGATTACCACAGATTCGTTCTAATAGATTTTGCTTATCGTCAAAAATATCTATGTAATCATATCTAGCATTTAAAATATTTGAATTAGTAATGAATTAAGAAATATTTCATTTTTATAAACATATAATAAACATACTCGCAGTTTTCTGTTTCTTCGATAGCAACTTCAATCAGTTTTAAAACAATTTTGTGATCCGCGGAAATTAGTTGCCATTGGCAATCCAAATTTTCTGGATAATGCTTTGGATAACCTGGACTTAAGAGTTTTCCTCCGGTGCCACTTACTGTAATGTTTTCGGAACATTCTTGATCTTTGAAAATTAATGTAACAACATTAAAAATATAAATTTTAAGTATATAAGAAATTAAATAAATATAAAAAGTAAAACAAAATTACATCATAGGTTTAATTATGGATTACCATTTTTTATGAATTCAATTTACTTAATTATTGGTTTAAATTAGCAATTAATATTATTATTATATATTATAGACTGATGAGAAGCAGTAACTTAAAATTTATTTTTATATGATGATATAATTAAACACTACATGTAAAACCAATATCTTGCTGGATATTGGTTCTATGTGTATGTAGTGCTGTATTTATGTACTATGTGCTTATTAAGAAGCAAAACATTTCTTTATCAAATAATAAAATTTGTTACATAAAAAACATCAAATAATTTCATAAAATTATATTAAGTTTGAAATAAATAAATATGGTGAGTAACAGCAGGATGAAAAAACAACTACATTAAACAAATTATTGAAATTTTATGTTTATTAAGATGAAATGTTCAATTTGGTTTGTGTTCATTAGTTCAGATATATTGATAAAGCATTCATTTTTAAGATCCAAATGTTTTATCTTGTAAACATATGACTTTTAAAATTTATTTAGCATATTTTTTTGTCTTGATGATAAACATAACATATAATCACCAATTAATAATATAGGATGAGAGTTATTCAATACATGTTTAATTTTTATAGCACTTTTATAAAACAAGAAAAGATTTTTAAAAATCAACAAATTTTTATGAATAGTGATATAAAGCCAAATGATTGATTGCCAGATTACACTGGGCTATATTATGTCAGGAGTTGCTGGTTTGAGTCCACTTTGGATGATTTTTTTTTCAGACCTTTGAAATTAATTAAAGCATTACTTAATTATAATTATTAATTCATCAAGAGATGGTACCTAATGTTTGCTCTAGGCCAAATTACTTGAAATTTAATTAGTAGTTAGTAGCAATTATATATCCTGATGTAATCTGGTAATTATTTGGCTTTAATCTAAAAATTGAGTTTGCAGATATTTATATTTGGATAGTGTTATAGACTAGAAAAAGAAAAATGTATTGGATCCAGTTAGATTTTTTTATGAAAAAGAAATTTAATAAAATTATTCAAATTAACAAAATAAAACTTGTATACTAGACTCTTGTTAATCTGACCATTCATTACACCAAGGGGAAGTGCCAGATTACCGAGTGTGTTCAGGCCTAAAGGCAATGAATGACAAGACCTGTAACCCTTTGGTACCAGTTCTTTTTGGAGGCAGGTGGGCAAATAATATAGCATGCTGACATGCAACACTACACAAGGAAATGAAATCCATGTAAACATGAAAACAGGATTGTCAAGGAGGCCTATTGAGTAGGATCAAGATAATTCAAGTTCCACTCATTGGAACACATTTTCCAGAAAAGGCCAGTTAGCCTGAATCACCCTAGACAAGTTGAGACAGGTATACCAACTGAGGTGGACCTGCAGGAGAGCTACCGACTCAGCTCCTGATTGATTGGCCAATGGATCTAAAAGTTAGATATAAGACAACACAACTGTTGGAACAAGGGAGAAACAAGCCTGGCCTAAGACTGTTGTGAAAAGCAAGCAAGAAATATTGTTATATGAATATTGTAAATAGTTGTCAAATAAATGGACTTAGTCTGAGTTCAAGCAGTCTTAAAGTGTTCTTTCTGATGGACCACAAATTCAGAAATTTACTAGCGTATGTGATATGACTAACATTTTCATGGAAACAGAAGCACATAGATGATTATGCTGGGGAGTATGCCAGATTAGCAAAAAGAGTATGCTACATTTACTTCAGTACAAAATAAATACATTAAATAATCAAATTTGATGTCAAATTCAATAAAAATCATTGTGTGTTTTGGAAATGAAGTGTGCAAATTTTTATTGGTGTGAAATCCGGAATTTTTATCGAAATTTCCGATTAATATCCCGCATTTTCCTAAACCCACAATTAAATTTTCCGTTAAATCCTAAACTAAAATCTAACTAAAAAAAGGGAAAAATTCCAATCTCCCCTTTCGTTCAAAGTAAACATTCATCCATTTCGAAAATAATCCCACATTCCAACTCCAAAGTTGATAGTTAGCATGGGCCCGGGGACAACTTTGACCCATCCGAGTATCTTCTACCTCACAACAATTGGTCACCTGACCATTCTCCCACGTCGAAACTATAAAAGCCACTTGCTTCCCCCTCTCGGGGGAGTTGTTCATCAACCGCCAACTACAATTTCCTCAAATATTGTGTCCTATCAATATATTGTGTCCTGCGAATTTATTATCCTTATCCTACCAGTTCGGAACCCGTTGGATATCATAATCTTTTTCCTCAAGAATATTTAAAGACATAGAGGTATGGAACAAATTTTTGTGAACTCTCTCTCGGCCCTTCGCGTTTTAGGGACTCAGTATTTCCCCTCGATAAATGTTATTATACCGTCTATGTAGATAGCTAATAAATCATTGTTTCCTTGTTAAATTGGTGTCCTCTTTTACTCGTATATCGCCTGTCACCTTACCGACAGCACTCCTCCCTCCTCCACTCGATCTGAACAAATAAAATCCCATTACTGTAGGATAGGGAAGAAGAAACATTTAAGCTATCTTGACAGTGAGCAGGTTTAACGACCTGTCACCGGAAAGGGAGACCTCCAACCTCCCCAGCGGTTCACGTTGGCATGAATCACACAATCAAGAACCTTTAAACTCCAGTAACACAAATTTTAACGTTTTCATTAAAATTTGTATTATTGGAGTTTAAAGGTTCTTGATTGTGTGTGATTCGTTCCAATAATTCAGTAAGAAGATAGTTTAATTTTATTGGCATTTAACTCAAATATAAATACTAATGGGAAATATACCCAAATAAGTATTATAAAACCTTCCACTCTTTTTCTAGCAATTTCTTTAATCGAACTAATGTTTTTGACTATATTTAATTGCCTTCCTCAAGTTCTACAATATTGGAACATCAGATATTCAAAATTTGTTTTTCTTGTAAAACCAATGATGTCATAAGAACTAAAACAAATTTCGAACATCTGACATTCCAATATTGTAGAACCTGAGGAAGGCCATTAAATATAGCCAAAAACATTAGTTAGATTAAAGAAATTGCTAGAAAAAGAGTGGAATGTTTTATAATACTTACTTACATAAGTTCTAGCTTTTTGTTCATAGAATAATATACCCAAAGATGCTTTATCAAGAGCTTTTATTGAGAAGATATAATTAATGAATATATAATAAATTAATTTACTTTAATTTACAAAACAAATTTTCAAGTAAAAATATTTTATCAATTTATATTGATGTTAACAGAGTTTTTCTGAAATTCTTTTTAGACAGTTTCAAAATGGCCAATGATATGAAATGAGATCATTTGATGCCAGTTGGGAGTATGTATTCAGAATTGTAAAAGAAGAATGTGAAAACATTTTAATACTATTTGACAACGATTCATATCATTTACACCATTTAATATATTTTTATATGAAATAAATGATTACAGAAGACTTTATTGCTTAATTTAATATCATTTTCTCTAATTGACATCAATTTGTATCATTCAGTATCATTTATTATTGGCAAATGATTTGAATAATACAGATACCACTATTAATTAATTAGAGGGATGATTTCTACATTGTTTACATTTTAATAAATTTTAAATATGTTAATAATAAAAATTCAACAACTTAATTAGAAAAATTAACTTATAATTTTTATTGTATTTTATCACAATTTTTGTAGCATATTCTTGATAATTCAAAATTAAGATATAATTAATAACAATTCTGAATTAATTATTTTATTAAATTTAAAAATATTACATAATTTTAATATTAATTAACCGTATTTATTTAAATTATTTCAGTAGTTATTAAATATTTTATTATACACAAAATTATCAAATCATTTTGAATATTATGATCTTTGCTCTTAATAATTAACACTTTTTGTATATTTATTATTTTGCTAATTGGCGCTTTCTTTTAACATGTTTACAGAGTGACAAATGTGTAAAAATAAGTCCCAGAGTTATTTCATTTGATTCTTTAGAATTTTCTATAGCATTTAATAAGGTATTGTTTCTAGTTTGCCAGCTTGCAGATGTAAATTTTGCTTTGGGTAGGGATGTTTAAAATATGACAATTGCAATGGGAATTCTTTTTTTGGAGTATTGCAGTCTATTGACTATTTTAATATTTCCTTGTTGTGCTCATATCTAGTTGCAGTTCCTTTGTTGCTTTTATAGTTTGGGAAAACACTGTGTGATTTGAATAACAAACTATTATTTGTCAATGATGCATCCTGGTCCAGTTGCCTGTGAGGAAAAAAAAAATGATTTTTTGGGAATGCTTAGAAAGACTTTTAATAGACTTACAGTTGAAAGGAACAGACATCGTATCAAAAGAGAAAGTAGAAAGAGCTCAAAGTGCTCTGTGGAGAGTGATGAGAGAGACCTGTGGAAACCCAGAACTTTGGAGTAATTGGAAATGGGAAGAAAGTCAAGGCATTGGCTTGTGAGTCATAAACAAAAGGTATGTAAAAGTTATAAATGATAAATTTTTTTTGTGTTTTAAACATCAACAGAACACAAATAGCCAATGCCAACAGTGCTGTACCAAGTGTTAAACTCATCATTCTATTGCATGTAATTTTTTTTAACATCTTATTTATGTATTGTACATATCATTATGTTGTAATAATTCTTCATTCTTTTGTTTAATAAAAATTCTTTGTAATACCAGCAGGTTCTTGTGCATTCCATTAAGTTCTGACACAAATGAAGCATATTCCTTTCTTTTTCTGTATTTGTTTCCGAATGTAGAAACCCCATTGTATATATGAGCTTTCCCAGAGTGCTCTAAAGTCACTAGTGTAATATTATTTAAATAAAAAAAAATTCTCTCATCTTATGTATGCTGTTATATTTTTGAGTGTCAATTAAAAAATGATCTCTGATTATACTGAAGTTATATAAATAATTTTATCTGTATTGCACTACTAAATTAATGTGGTAAAATGATTCCCATCTTATTAAGATCCAATTTTAGACAATTTTACAGACTCTTTCACAAAATAACAGCTGCTACATCTGTTGGAAGAATGACAGCTTTTCTCAACTCATTAGGTACCAGTAGAAATTAGAGGATCTTAGATACTTCATAAACAAATAATAAAATGATGCAAAATTAATAAGCAAAAAGTTTAACTGAATACAGTTTTAAGTCAGAATATAGGCTACTTATTGAAGTTCAAATTTTAGTTTTATTAGGCATGTAAAGACAAATAATATAATTATTTGCATATTCATTTTATTAACTTTTTGTACACAAGTGTTTTGTCATGTATTAACTTTTTAACTTGCTTTTAGTACTCAAAAATATTTTCAAAAAAAAAATGTTTATATTGCCTGTTATTTATCAGTATTATTATTTTCTCTTATAATTAAATATCAATATTAGAAAAAGCAAAGTTGAAAATATCAATTGATTTATAATTCCTGACTCCTTGATGTTTAATAAGTTTAGATTTTTAAGAACAAGTGTTATTTATTAAAAGCAACAATTAGAGCAACAATCTCTTGTTTTGGCCTTGATCTCAATAGAAATCAAAACAGATTTTTATAATTAGGATTAGATTTTTCTAAAAATATAAGTTACTTTCAATACTTAATAGTACCTGTAAACTCCTTGTGGCATTATGAAAAAAAATTGCNAACCTGTTTAAAACGGAAAAATTCTTCGGAACAGATCGATTTTCTATGTTAAAAACAACCTGTTCGAAGCGGAAACCTGCCAAACCGGAAAACATATTCGGTACCTGGTGTTTCCGGTTTACACAGGTTATACTTTAGATAAGCTTATATTTGAAGTTTAAATATAAGTTCCTTTATATTAGCATTTTCTAGGTTCCACGATGAAAACCAGCTTTAAGCAACGGCGTAGTCGAACGGTACACACTCGGTAAGTAATCCTATAATTTTTTGTTTATAGCATAGTTTATACAGATTATTCCCAAAAAATTATACGTATTTTGGAAATGTTGAGTCGAATTAGCCTAGAATCGGTTAATTTTATAGAAGAAAACCTTTCGAACAGCCTTAGTCCGTAAAGTTCCCACCTATCGGGCTGCGATTGGCTCGTGTATTTAATCGTTCCTACAACGTAAAATTCTATTAGCGTGGAACGTATCTAAGCATTATAGGGGGTCTACTGTACTTCAAGTTTTCTTATACAAAATATAATATTTTCAGCTGCAGTAAACATCCTATATATCCATAACAGAGACAAAAATCAACATGGCATTTAAATTTAGTAACAAGGAATTAGAATGTATTAGAATATTACAATTATGGATAGAAATTTAAAAAGTTTGTAAACTCCTTGTGGCATTATGAAAAAAAATTGCATTAGAGGACTCTTGTCTCATCCAACATATTTACTGAACTTTGTCCCAATGGGTTATAACTCTGCAAAATCACATAGATGAAAAAAAATTGAATAATGACATCAGTCAAAGAGTATATAGAAGAGTTTTGCTCAAGATCAGTAAAGTTTTCTATCAATAGTATTAAAAGGTTATTGATAAATTTTCAGAAAAATTATTATATAATAATGGTAATTATATTTAATTTGATTGTATTTTGTATTACGTATATTAAAATTTGTGGAAAAACTCAAAAGAACTTTTGACTTAATGTAATATTTATTTCTTCACAAATAAGAGCATGCTCTTGTATATGAAAATGGCTCATCTTTTGCATTTTTGAAACATGTTTGCTTTCATTTATAAAAGCATACCTCACATAAAAGTTAGCATACAAGAACATGCATGCTAATGCTAACTTATTTTGGCTTATAAGATATCTATACTGCTGTGTCAATGATTTAACTTCCATGTATGTACTGATACAGTAATTATTCAGTAACATCTCTATGGTAACCATTATTAAAAATAAACTTCTAAAGTAAAAAAATGCCATAATACTATAAATATAATTTTTAAAAAATAGCAAGTTTTTAGGTACTTTGCAAAATATAGTGCTAATTTTGCCCTATCTATAAAAGTATTCTATTGTTGCATGTGTAAAATTATATGCAGAGGAAAACTTACCTCCTATTTCATCATTATCTTTTAAAATAGATTTATATTTAGCACTGAATCCATGATAATTCAATAGATGGTCAGAATGAAAATGTATCAACATTGTATTATTTGTTGATATTACTGTATTATTTTCTGGATTTGAACAAAAGTGACCAATAAGAGGATCATCTACATAAAAAGAAAATATAAAAATATATTAGAAGTACAAAATATTCCAATGACTATTTATTAATCTAAATATTTATCAACCTGCAGTCATTCCGTCATATACAGCAACAAAATCATAACTACAATTTGTATCGTATTCCAATTCAAGAACATCAAACTCTAAATGCACCGAAAATTCGGGTTTTACCACAATTTGAGTCCAACAATCTGTTTTATCAGGGTAATTGTCTGGATAAAGTGGACTAGTTAAAACTCCTTTGTTTTCTTTTAATATTGTTCGACAATCTGAAAATAAAACAAAATTAATTTTCTACTGTAAATACTGATTTAGCCATTAAGGTTAAATATAAAATACTTTCTTACTTGATGAAATCTCTGGAAAATATTCCAATAAGAACCCATTATCTGTATAACTGGCATCAGTATGGAAAAAAATAGTAACTTTTGTTGTGTTTGTATTAATTATTTTAACTTTGTGATTACCACAGATTCGTTCTAATAGATTTTGCTTATCGTCAAAAATATCTATGTAATCATATCTAGCATTTAAAATATTTGAATTAGTAATGAATTAAGAAATATTTCATTTTTATAAACATATAATAAACATACTCGCAGTTTTCTGTTTCTTCGATAGCAACTTCAATCAGTTTTAAAACAATTTTGTGATCCGCGGAAATTAGTTGCCATTGGCAATCCAAATTTTCTGGATAATGCTTTGGATAACCTGGACTTAAGAGTTTTCCTCCGGTGCCACTTACTGTAATGTTTTCGGAACATTCTTGATCTTTGAAAATTAATGTAACAACATTAAAAATATAAATTTTAAGTATATAAGAAATTAAATAAATATAAAAAGTAAAACAAAATTACATCATAGGTTTAATTATGGATTACCATTTTTTATGAATTCAATTTACTTAATTATTGGTTTAAATTAGCAATTAATATTATTATTATATATTATAGACTGATGAGAAGCAGTAACTTAAAATTTATTTTTATATGATGATATAATTAAACACTACATGTAAAACCAATATCTTGCTGGATATTGGTTCTATGTGTATGTAGTGCTGTATTTATGTACTATGTGCTTATTAAGAAGCAAAACATTTCTTTATCAAATAATAAAATTTGTTACATAAAAAACATCAAATAATTTCATAAAATTATATTAAGTTTGAAATAAATAAATATGGTGAGTAACAGCAGGATGAAAAAACAACTACATTAAACAAATTATTGAAATTTTATGTTTATTAAGATGAAATGTTCAATTTGGTTTGTGTTCATTAGTTCAGATATATTGATAAAGCATTCATTTTTAAGATCCAAATGTTTTATCTTGTAAACATATGACTTTTAAAATTTATTTAGCATATTTTTTTGTCTTGATGATAAACATAACATATAATCACCAATTAATAATATAGGATGAGAGTTATTCAATACATGTTTAATTTTTATAGCACTTTTATAAAACAAGAAAAGATTTTTAAAAATCAACAAATTTTTATGAATAGTGATATAAAGCCAAATGATTGATTGCCAGATTACACTGGGCTATATTATGTCAGGAGTTGCTGGTTTGAGTCCACTTTGGATGATTTTTTTTTCAGACCTTTGAAATTAATTAAAGCATTACTTAATTATAATTATTAATTCATCAAGAGATGGTACCTAATGTTTGCTCTAGGCCAAATTACTTGAAATTTAATTAGTAGTTAGTAGCAATTATATATCCTGATGTAATCTGGTAATTATTTGGCTTTAATCTAAAAATTGAGTTTGCAGATATTTATATTTGGATAGTGTTATAGACTAGAAAAAGAAAAATGTATTGGATCCAGTTAGATTTTTTTATGAAAAAGAAATTTAATAAAATTATTCAAATTAACAAAATAAAACTTGTATACTAGACTCTTGTTAATCTGACCATTCATTACACCAAGGGGAAGTGCCAGATTACCGAGTGTGTTCAGGCCTAAAGGCAATGAATGACAAGACCTGTAACCCTTTGGTACCAGTTCTTTTTGGAGGCAGGTGGGCAAATAATATAGCATGCTGACATGCAACACTACACAAGGAAATGAAATCCATGTAAACATGAAAACAGGATTGTCAAGGAGGCCTATTGAGTAGGATCAAGATAATTCAAGTTCCACTCATTGGAACACATTTTCCAGAAAAGGCCAGTTAGCCTGAATCACCCTAGACAAGTTGAGACAGGTATACCAACTGAGGTGGACCTGCAGGAGAGCTACCGACTCAGCTCCTGATTGATTGGCCAATGGATCTAAAAGTTAGATATAAGACAACACAACTGTTGGAACAAGGGAGAAACAAGCCTGGCCTAAGACTGTTGTGAAAAGCAAGCAAGAAATATTGTTATATGAATATTGTAAATAGTTGTCAAATAAATGGACTTAGTCTGAGTTCAAGCAGTCTTAAAGTGTTCTTTCTGATGGACCACAAATTCAGAAATTTACTAGCGTATGTGATATGACTAACATTTTCATGGAAACAGAAGCACATAGATGATTATGCTGGGGAGTATGCCAGATTAGCAAAAAGAGTATGCTACATTTACTTCAGTACAAAATAAATACATTAAATAATCAAATTTGATGTCAAATTCAATAAAAATCATTGTGTGTTTTGGAAATGAAGTGTGCAAATTTTTATTGGTGTGAAATCCGGAATTTTTATCGAAATTTCCGATTAATATCCCGCATTTTCCTAAACCCACAATTAAATTTTCCGTTAAATCCTAAACTAAAATCTAACTAAAAAAAGGGAAAAATTCCAATCTCCCCTTTCGTTCAAAGTAAACATTCATCCATTTCGAAAATAATCCCACATTCCAACTCCAAAGTTGATAGTTAGCATGGGCCCGGGGACAACTTTGACCCATCCGAGTATCTTCTACCTCACAACAATTGGTCACCTGACCATTCTCCCACGTCGAAACTATAAAAGCCACTTGCTTCCCCCTCTCGGGGGAGTTGTTCATCAACCGCCAACTACAATTTCCTCAAATATTGTGTCCTATCAATATATTGTGTCCTGCGAATTTATTATCCTTATCCTACCAGTTCGGAACCCGTTGGATATCATAATCTTTTTCCTCAAGAATATTTAAAGACATAGAGGTATGGAACAAATTTTTGTGAACTCTCTCTCGGCCCTTCGCGTTTTAGGGACTCAGTATTTCCCCTCGATAAATGTTATTATACCGTCTATGTAGATAGCTAATAAATCATTGTTTCCTTGTTAAATTGGTGTCCTCTTTTACTCGTATATCGCCTGTCACCTTACCGACAGCACTCCTCCCTCCTCCACTCGATCTGAACAAATAAAATCCCATTACTGTAGGATAGGGAAGAAGAAACATTTAAGCTATCTTGACAGTGAGCAGGTTTAACGACCTGTCACCGGAAAGGGAGACCTCCAACCTCCCCAGCGGTTCACGTTGGCATGAATCACACAATCAAGAACCTTTAAACTCCAGTAACACAAATTTTAACGTTTTCATTAAAATTTGTATTATTGGAGTTTAAAGGTTCTTGATTGTGTGTGATTCGTTCCAATAATTCAGTAAGAAGATAGTTTAATTTTATTGGCATTTAACTCAAATATAAATACTAATGGGAAATATACCCAAATAAGTATTATAAAACCTTCCACTCTTTTTCTAGCAATTTCTTTAATCGAACTAATGTTTTTGACTATATTTAATTGCCTTCCTCAAGTTCTACAATATTGGAACATCAGATATTCAAAATTTGTTTTTCTTGTAAAACCAATGATGTCATAAGAACTAAAACAAATTTCGAACATCTGACATTCCAATATTGTAGAACCTGAGGAAGGCCATTAAATATAGCCAAAAACATTAGTTAGATTAAAGAAATTGCTAGAAAAAGAGTGGAATGTTTTATAATACTTACTTACATAAGTTCTAGCTTTTTGTTCATAGAATAATATACCCAAAGATGCTTTATCAAGAGCTTTTATTGAGAAGATATAATTAATGAATATATAATAAATTAATTTACTTTAATTTACAAAACAAATTTTCAAGTAAAAATATTTTATCAATTTATATTGATGTTAACAGAGTTTTTCTGAAATTCTTTTTAGACAGTTTCAAAATGGCCAATGATATGAAATGAGATCATTTGATGCCAGTTGGGAGTATGTATTCAGAATTGTAAAAGAAGAATGTGAAAACATTTTAATACTATTTGACAACGATTCATATCATTTACACCATTTAATATATTTTTATATGAAATAAATGATTACAGAAGACTTTATTGCTTAATTTAATATCATTTTCTCTAATTGACATCAATTTGTATCATTCAGTATCATTTATTATTGGCAAATGATTTGAATAATACAGATACCACTATTAATTAATTAGAGGGATGATTTCTACATTGTTTACATTTTAATAAATTTTAAATATGTTAATAATAAAAATTCAACAACTTAATTAGAAAAATTAACTTATAATTTTTATTGTATTTTATCACAATTTTTGTAGCATATTCTTGATAATTCAAAATTAAGATATAATTAATAACAATTCTGAATTAATTATTTTATTAAATTTAAAAATATTACATAATTTTAATATTAATTAACCGTATTTATTTAAATTATTTCAGTAGTTATTAAATATTTTATTATACACAAAATTATCAAATCATTTTGAATATTATGATCTTTGCTCTTAATAATTAACACTTTTTGTATATTTATTATTTTGCTAATTGGCGCTTTCTTTTAACATGTTTACAGAGTGACAAATGTGTAAAAATAAGTCCCAGAGTTATTTCATTTGATTCTTTAGAATTTTCTATAGCATTTAATAAGGTATTGTTTCTAGTTTGCCAGCTTGCAGATGTAAATTTTGCTTTGGGTAGGGATGTTTAAAATATGACAATTGCAATGGGAATTCTTTTTTTGGAGTATTGCAGTCTATTGACTATTTTAATATTTCCTTGTTGTGCTCATATCTAGTTGCAGTTCCTTTGTTGCTTTTATAGTTTGGGAAAACACTGTGTGATTTGAATAACAAACTATTATTTGTCAATGATGCATCCTGGTCCAGTTGCCTGTGAGGAAAAAAAAAATGATTTTTTGGGAATGCTTAGAAAGACTTTTAATAGACTTACAGTTGAAAGGAACAGACATCGTATCAAAAGAGAAAGTAGAAAGAGCTCAAAGTGCTCTGTGGAGAGTGATGAGAGAGACCTGTGGAAACCCAGAACTTTGGAGTAATTGGAAATGGGAAGAAAGTCAAGGCATTGGCTTGTGAGTCATAAACAAAAGGTATGTAAAAGTTATAAATGATAAATTTTTTTTGTGTTTTAAACATCAACAGAACACAAATAGCCAATGCCAACAGTGCTGTACCAAGTGTTAAACTCATCATTCTATTGCATGTAATTTTTTTTAACATCTTATTTATGTATTGTACATATCATTATGTTGTAATAATTCTTCATTCTTTTGTTTAATAAAAATTCTTTGTAATACCAGCAGGTTCTTGTGCATTCCATTAAGTTCTGACACAAATGAAGCATATTCCTTTCTTTTTCTGTATTTGTTTCCGAATGTAGAAACCCCATTGTATATATGAGCTTTCCCAGAGTGCTCTAAAGTCACTAGTGTAATATTATTTAAATAAAAAAAAATTCTCTCATCTTATGTATGCTGTTATATTTTTGAGTGTCAATTAAAAAATGATCTCTGATTATACTGAAGTTATATAAATAATTTTATCTCTATTGCACTACTAAATTAATGTGGTAAAATGATTCCCATCTTATTAAGATCCAATTTTAGACAATTTTACAGACTATTTCACAAAATAACAGCTGCTACATCTGTTGGAAGAATGACAGCTTTTCTCAACTCATTAGGTACCAGTAGAAATTAGAGGATCTTAGGTACTTCATAAACAAATAATAAAATGATGCAAAATTAATAAGCAAAAAGTTTAACTGAATACAGTTTTAAGTCAGAATATAGGCTACTTATTGAAGTTCAAATTTTAGTTTTATTAGGCATGTAAAGACAAATAATATAATTATTTGCATATTCATTTTATTAACTTTTTGCACAAAGTGTTTTGTCATGTATTAACTTTTTAACTTGCTTTTAGTACTCAAAAATATTTAAAAAAAAAAATGTTTATATTGCCTGTTATTTATTAGTATTATTATTTTCACTTATAATTAAATATCAATATTAGAAAAAGCAAAGTTGAAAATATCAATTGATTTATAATTCCTGACTCCTTGATGCTTAATAAGTTTAGATTTTTAAGAACAAGTGTTATTTATTAAAAGCAACAATTAGAGCAACAATCTCTTGTTTTGGCCTTGATCTCAATAGAAATCAAAACAGATTTTTATAATTAGGATTAGATTTTTCTAAAAATATAAGTTACTTTCAATACTTAATATTACCTTAAAATGACATCATACCTGTTTGTCTTTTGAATCTCTCTTTCCTATTGATAGGAATTGTAGGTGATTGATTTACCTTATCTTGTTTCCTTATTAAAAAAAAAAGTAAATATTTTATTTATTAAACCATTTTGTTTATGTATCAATAATATAAAAAAATTTTATATACTGTATATATATATATAAAAACTCAAAAATTAATAGCTATTTATGTATTTTCCTAAATCTAGGCTATACTGTATGTTTCAGAAAACGTTTATAGTTATAATCCAATTACTGATTTTGCAAATGATAAATATCTAAATTCATAAACAATTTTCTTATTCTAAGAAAAATACAGTCAATGCAATATTTGTGGCATTAATAAGATATTTTTAAGAAATTTGAATTGCTCAGTCTTATTACACTGTTCAACTACACAAATCTCTATTAATATTTATTCTGAAAGATAAATTTCTTCTTCAAATTTCTTCAGTTTCTTACTGATACTATAGAAACTTATTGCATTTTTCTATGAATAAGAAACGTGTTTATGAATTTAATATTTATAATTAGCAAAAATACTGATTATGAATAGTAACGCTGGCATGCTGTATATACTTGCAAATGTGAAATATTGTATAAGAATACTTAATAATTAAAACTTTTGTTTTTAAATTCTTATGTATACAGTATATATAACGCAAAGATATTTAAATAACTGTTCATTAATTTAAATAGAAATTATTATGTAAGTTCTTGTCAAAATTACACCTTACCTGTCAACATTCGACTTATGCGTCGTTAGTAATAGGAGGAAAGTTGTTGACACAAATAAAATAAAGAGCGCAATAGATAGGAAAATAGCTTTACTTCTTCTAACTTCGCCCATCGTTTTCCAACTGCAAAATGAAAGCATTTGTTTTGACCCCGAGGGTCATTCTTTGTGAAATTCCTTATCTTCGGGTTCCTATAAACTTTTTGATTAGCAGATAATTGACGTCATTTTTTTCATGTAAATAAGTTCTTCGAAATTTCAACTTGTAAAAGGAAATGTGAACCAGTTCGAACAACCAATCCTTGACCTTAACTTTCTGCATTTTATTTTTATTTTCCTGCTTTTCGTCGATTTATATATATATAAAATTAGGATGCAGGTAATTGAAGCTAAATTGTTATTAAATTATAATTTTTCTCGAAAGTGCTCTGTTGTAACCACACGTAATTAAGATTTTGTTTTGCCGGAAGTGTTTTTAATAGGTTAAATGAGTTTATAAATTCCGGATTTACCACCTATAACGTCAAGATTATTGTGCAATTTAACGTAGAATTAAAACAAGTTCGTAAGAATTAATACAATTCTGATGAAATGGTCTATATTCGAGACTAAAATAATGCGCTGTTGTTATGTTAGTAACTACTAAACCTGTAGTTTAGTATAGTCATGCTTTATAATATAATATAAATACTGTGTATACAGTAAAACCTGTTTAAAACGGAAAAATTCTTCGGAACAGATCGATTTTCTATGTTAAAAACAACCTGTTCGAAGCGGAAACCTGCCAAACCGGAAAATATATTCGGTACCTGGTGTTTCCGGTTTACACAGGTTATACTTTAGATAAGCTTATATTTGAAGTTTATATATAAGTTCCTTTATATTAGCATTTTCTAGCTTTCATTGTGAAACTCCGATGCATAAATTAGCTTAAGCTAATACTTTTAAATTGAATCAGTGTCATTTCAGATTTCTGCCATTTTTTTATTTTTTCGTATTAATAAAAAACAGTCTTATTTTATTTTTTGTTAGTAAAAGTAAAAATTAATTGCAGGAATAGGATGTAGGGCCTCTAAGTTTTCTCTGTAATCGGGGAAAAATCCCTATCTCCCCCTCTGAACGACCCCGCTAACAGCCTCCGGTTAAGAGGAGGATGCAATTTGTTCTGAATTTTTATTAAGTTTATTTCAAAGCTTAATTATTCTAAAATATATTAAATAATTCTACATAATACTCGTGATTCTTATAATTTGCAAATGATTACATTCTGTATCTAATATTTTGAATTTGAATTTTTTGACAAACATTTTCTTTATCTCTTTTAACATGAGTTTATCTTCAATGAAGAATTAATGATGATGGGCATTTTGGTTTTCATTTTATTGATGATAAAAGTGAATTCGCGATTATTATTATTATAGAAACGGAACTGTTTTGGTCTTGTTCACTTATTGATTGACTGAATGCCGAAATTAACTGTAAAAATTGGGAAAATAATTAAGTGCTTGTTAAATTCTTTAATTGCTAGGACACTAATCTATTAATGTATATAGGCTATAAATAATAAAAATTCCATCAATAATAGAAACTTCCATGAGGCAGAACTGCTTCATATAGCTCAGGAACATGTAACATAATTATAAAATAAACAAAACTGCTGTGGAGAACTTACCGAACAGCTGATTGGTTAGCCTATGTAGGCTTTATTACATAAAAATCTACATAACCAATCGGCTAGGTTCCTGTATAAGTTTTCCATATAAATTCTACGTTTACTTCTCAAGATCTAAGTAGAGAGAACAAGAAGCAATCGAGTACTATATTAAAAAAAAAAAATTATTGCAGTTCTAGCTTGTGTAATGTAGTTGATATTGTTACTGATATATGCTAGATAAGAATAAATGTAATCAAATTGAAACTATCGTTAAATTTGTCCTTCTTAAATACACGAGAAAGCTATTCTGAAATTAAAATTATCTTATACACTGACAGATTAATATGATATGTCTTTAATAATTCTAAGTATAATAATTTAATTGAAAAATAAATATGATGTCCTAAAAACTCGATCTTTATGTAGAGTAATGACTAAAACTCTTTTTCTTAGCCTATTATTTCGAAAACCATTAGAGCATCCAGTGTAAACTTTTTATCAATGTTTACTAAGTTTAGAATGCGCTAAACAATGATGTTACTATCCGTTCCCTTCTCTTAAGTCGGGAGTACGATTGCCAACTTTTAGAGTAACAAATTCCGAACACGTGGTGGGAAAAAAGCTTGAAAAAGCTACGAGCAAAAAAAACCTACAATCAAATTAGGAACATTTTTTCTTTTGACTAATGACGATGACGAGCCAACTGGATGAACGCTTCGAAGCGTTAAGACGTCACTTTCTTTGTGGACCGGGTATTAAATTCGGACGAGTAACTCCAGGAATTTTTCATGAGAGGTCCGTTCTGGATATATCGGGCACCTATCCCTCACCACTATGTCGCCCCCATTGAATCCTTTGTGGGATCGGCTAGGCCCACAATGGACTTGAATTTTTAGTGTCTACAGGGTAGAATGAAACGGGGAAAAAAGTAAACTAACGAGAGTGAAAATTTGGATTGCAATTAAAGATGCCAACTTTATAATGAAGAAAACAGATGAGTTAAAAAAAACTTTTTGTTCGTTTTTCAGAACCTTTCTGTTCAGGAAAATGAACAGAGTTTTTTAAACAACAACAACAAAAAAGTTGGCAACTTCAGTCTAGAGACGCAAGTTATTTTCTCTCTTAATATAAATAGCTAATCAATGTCAGTTATAAAGTTATAGAGAATGACAAAATATACAATTTCAGCTTTTCTTCCATTCCGAAATATCAAACAGAACCCAAGAACATGCTCCAAAAGTAAGATATACAGTAAGTGCACCTCTGCATAATGAGAATGAAATACGGGAGGGACCGAACGCGACATTTGCACAACCATGAATAGGACATACTGTAATGATAAGGCTAAATGGGCGAAGAGATAAAAGGTCTTAGCCTGCTGTTACGGAAAATCTGGAATTGAATGTAGATCAGAGACCTCAAAGTTTGCGTGGATGGTCTGTTTCAGATTTATCGGGCTCTATTTTTCACTATCCTGCCGTCNTTTTTATGAATAGTGATATAAAGCCAAATGATTGATTGCCAGATTACACTGGGCTATATTATGTCAGGAGTTGCTGGTTTGAGTCCACTTTGGATGATTTTTTTTTCAGACCTTTGAAATTAATTAAAGCATTACTTAATTATAATTATTAATTCATCAAGAGATGGTACCTAATGTTTGCTCTAGGCCAAATTACTTGAAATTTAATTAGTAGTTAGTAGCAATTATATATCCTGATGTAATCTGGTAATTATTTGGCTTTAATCTAAAAATTGAGTTTGCAGATATTTATATTTGGATAGTGTTATAGACTAGAAAAAGAAAAATGTATTGGATCCAGTTAGATTTTTTTATGAAAAAGAAATTTAATAAAATTATTCAAATTAACAAAATAAAACTTGTATACTAGACTCTTGTTAATCTGACCATTCATTACACCAAGGGGAAGTGCCAGATTACCGAGTGTGTTCAGGCCTAAAGGCAATGAATGACAAGACCTGTAACCCTTTGGTACCAGTTCTTTTTGGAGGCAGGTGGGCAAATAATATAGCATGCTGACATGCAACACTACACAAGGAAATGAAATCCATGTAAACATGAAAACAGGATTGTCAAGGAGGCCTATTGAGTAGGATCAAGATAATTCAAGTTCCACTCATTGGAACACATTTTCCAGAAAAGGCCAGTTAGCCTGAATCACCCTAGACAAGTTGAGACAGGTATACCAACTGAGGTGGACCTGCAGGAGAGCTACCGACTCAGCTCCTGATTGATTGGCCAATGGATCTAAAAGTTAGATATAAGACAACACAACTGTTGGAACAAGGGAGAAACAAGCCTGGCCTAAGACTGTTGTGAAAAGCAAGCAAGAAATATTGTTATATGAATATTGTAAATAGTTGTCAAATAAATGGACTTAGTCTGAGTTCAAGCAGTCTTAAAGTGTTCTTTCTGATGGACCACAAATTCAGAAATTTACTAGCGTATGTGATATGACTAACATTTTCATGGAAACAGAAGCACATAGATGATTATGCTGGGGAGTATGCCAGATTAGCAAAAAGAGTATGCTACATTTACTTCAGTACAAAATAAATACATTAAATAATCAAATTTGATGTCAAATTCAATAAAAATCATTGTGTGTTTTGGAAATGAAGTGTGCAAATTTTTATTGGTGTGAAATCCGGAATTTTTATCGAAATTTCCGATTAATATCCCGCATTTTCCTAAACCCACAATTAAATTTTCCGTTAAATCCTAAACTAAAATCTAACTAAAAAAAGGGAAAAATTCCAATCTCCCCTTTCGTTCAAAGTAAACATTCATCCATTTCGAAAATAATCCCACATTCCAACTCCAAAGTTGATAGTTAGCATGGGCCCGGGGACAACTTTGACCCATCCGAGTATCTTCTACCTCACAACAATTGGTCACCTGACCATTCTCCCACGTCGAAACTATAAAAGCCACTTGCTTCCCCCTCTCGGGGGAGTTGTTCATCAACCGCCAACTACAATTTCCTCAAATATTGTGTCCTATCAATATATTGTGTCCTGCGAATTTATTATCCTTATCCTACCAGTTCGGAACCCGTTGGATATCATAATCTTTTTCCTCAAGAATATTTAAAGACATAGAGGTATGGAACAAATTTTTGTGAACTCTCTCTCGGCCCTTCGCGTTTTAGGGACTCAGTATTTCCCCTCGATAAATGTTATTATACCGTCTATGTAGATAGCTAATAAATCATTGTTTCCTTGTTAAATTGGTGTCCTCTTTTACTCGTATATCGCCTGTCACCTTACCGACAGCACTCCTCCCTCCTCCACTCGATCTGAACAAATAAAATCCCATTACTGTAGGATAGGGAAGAAGAAACATTTAAGCTATCTTGACAGTGAGCAGGTTTAACGACCTGTCACCGGAAAGGGAGACCTCCAACCTCCCCAGCGGTTCACGTTGGCATGAATCACACAATCAAGAACCTTTAAACTCCAGTAACACAAATTTTAACGTTTTCATTAAAATTTGTATTATTGGAGTTTAAAGGTTCTTGATTGTGTGTGATTCGTTCCAATAATTCAGTAAGAAGATAGTTTAATTTTATTGGCATTTAACTCAAATATAAATACTAATGGGAAATATACCCAAATAAGTATTATAAAACCTTCCACTCTTTTTCTAGCAATTTCTTTAATCGAACTAATGTTTTTGACTATATTTAATTGCCTTCCTCAAGTTCTACAATATTGGAACATCAGATATTCAAAATTTGTTTTTCTTGTAAAACCAATGATGTCATAAGAACTAAAACAAATTTCGAACATCTGACATTCCAATATTGTAGAACCTGAGGAAGGCCATTAAATATAGCCAAAAACATTAGTTAGATTAAAGAAATTGCTAGAAAAAGAGTGGAATGTTTTATAATACTTACTTACATAAGTTCTAGCTTTTTGTTCATAGAATAATATACCC